TGAACCAAGAGGCTTCTACAGTGGCTAATATAAGTGTGGTCCAAAGCACCTCCAGCATCCGTCAGCGCCCGCGAAAGCCTGTGAGTTTAGCCTTGCTTTTTCAGCCTAAGCGCTCCCATTATTGCCAAAGCTCTGTTGTTCTTGGAGCTCTGGCGGGAGGGAGGGCATCCTTCCAAAACCTCTCCGTGAATATTGAAACATTTTTTGTTGAAAGGTTTTAGTCAGGTTACAAATCCCAGACAGCTTTCTAGAGATTTTCTGGCGTTACGCACGCCAGTGATGGCATTAGCGGGGGAAAGCAACGCTCGGAGCAGGACGAGCCGAGGGTCCCTCTCGCGTTCTCTCCTGAGCAGCTGCTAAACCCATTTCTGTGAGGAAAAGCAAAGCCCTTGGCCGCCCGACTTTGCCAGGTGCAATCCAGGGTTAGCTCTGGTGCAAAGGGCTCCTGAGCGCTTGGTGAGGCTCAAACAGAGTTTTAATGTCAGGGCACAGCACAGCAAGGGTTCAGGGTTCAGCTGGACCTACCCAGTTTGTCAGTGGCCTGTCCCCTCCCTGCCATAGCCCTCCCGCAGGCCACACTGCAGTAAACCAGACCAAGCCCGGCCAGGGGAGCCCTGCTCCTCCTGCGCCGATGCACAGCCGCGTCTCTGCTCCTGCCCAACGTGCTGGACCCAAATGGAGCTCTTGAGCGGGATGTGGGTTTTTGGCATGCAAGAAAAAGGGAGAATTTGGTGCTTCATATCCAGGGCTGCTCTATGCCCACCACAGTGGTCATTCCCTCTTCACCAGAACAAGCCACAGAGGAGGCAAATGCAGACAGAAATGAGCCAGGAAATCTGGACTCTGCAGAATGACACAAGCCAACCTTCCCAAAGCTCCCCCCTTCCTCTCCCCAGATCAGTGAGCCCAGACTGCCCCTCACTACGGGAATCTCTTATTTCCTTTTCTGTTGCACTAATTAGGGCAGAACACCCAGGAGAGGCAATCTTCTTCGTTTATCAAGAGGTAGTTAAAAGGGAAAAAACAAGGTTAAAATACAGTCATCAAGCAGACCTCCAGGGCCTAAGCATAATTCCCTCATGCGTCCTGTTTGGTTTGATTTCAAAGACACATTTTTACACTGCACATTGTGCAATCCGTTGAGACTCTTATTGTTTGGATTTGTAGCAGCAGTGGTCAAAAATGACCACATCTTGTGCCAGAGGAAACTTCAGCCTGGTCCTGCCTGTGCCATAGTCACCTCCAGAGCTGCCACGGGCTCCTCCTGGGCAGACACGGGCTTGGTGGGCACGAGGATGCTGCTTCTGCAGAGCTGGGGCTACTGCAGGCTCCTCAGCACCGACCCACCCTGGCTGCCGTTCCAGGGACAGAGGCATGCCAACCGCAGCGGAAAACGGGTTCCTGGGAACGGCACGGGAATAACTGCCCTAAACGCGCGGTGCCCTGTTAATGTCCAGCTAGCCTCTGCACAGACATTTATAACCCCTGCGGAGCTGCGCAAAGCTCATTAAAATATAAGCCGTGCTGAAAAATAAATCCCTCTGGTAACTCTTTTCCATAGGAATAAGGTGAAAAACAATAGAGTAGGATTTGTTTGCAGAACAGGGTAATTTTCAGATGAGCACCAGAGCTCCAGCTCCTGCATGTCAGAAGGGGTTTAGCGAGGGTTAGTCGGCTCCGATGAAGAGGGACACACAGCCGTGAGTTTGGGAAAAGGCTTCCTGGGGACGAGGAGTGACCTTGGATGGCCCGCGCTCCTTCCTGGGAAGCCGGGGCGCTTGGGAAAGGAGCTTTTCCTTTAGAAATCCTAACCAACTTCCCAGCTGCCGGGAAACTAACATCCATTCTCATGATGTGGGCAAACATAGAGACTCTCCTGCCGGCACGGAGGTACTGGGATGGTTAGAGTGAACAGCTCACTCTAGAAATAAACAAACTGGGAAATTCAGTGACTGCTGGAGCCGCTCCCTTGGCAGTCTGCTCTGTGCAGAGAAGGTCCTGGCCTGAACCCTGCACAGAGCAGGGGACGGGTAGCCCTGGTGATCCTGAAACGCTGGGGTTTTATGTGCTGCATGTGCGGGGACGTGCTCGCAGCCCTGCTACCAGCACCACCTTGTCGCCTGCTCCTGATAAGACACGGAAGCACCTCAGGAAACAGGCGATTCCTCTCCATATTCTCCCCACTGTGCAAATCCCTGGAGGAACAGCGCGGGCCGGGCCCGGCTCCGCGGAGAATTGGGTCGGAGCAGGTACTGCTGGCCGGCAGGAGGGATTTGGCCGGTCACAGTTCATAGAATCATAGAATGCTTAGGGTTGGAAGGGACCTCTAGGGATCATCCAGTCCAACCCCTGCACACGCAGGGTCACCTAGAGCACGTGGCACAGGGCTGCGTCCAAGCGGGTTTGAAGATCTCCAGAGAACGAGACTCCACAACCTCCCTGGGCAGCCTGTTCCAGTGCTCCGGCACCCTCAAACTCCAGGGCTGCTCCGGGAGCGGCTGCAGGGAGAGCACAGGCCGCTCCGGGCGGTCCTTGCTGGAGGTGGTGACACGGGCCATGTTCTTGGCATATCAGCCAGGCCTGGGTCACTTGTGGCATGTGTGGGTGACATGTGACATCCCTACTGGCCCCATCCCTTATCCTTGAGCTGGGCCCAGAAGCATTTTCCCTTGGGAGCATATGAGTAACTGCTGCTTTCTAGGGCTCGAGCAGGGTAAAAAACATACATGCCGTGGCGGCTGCGGGAGCCCGGCCCTGCCACATTCCCTGGCCGTGACCACCGGGAGCGCGGACGATACCTGGATCCACACGGGCTCCACGGTGGGCCCTGGCGACGTGAGGTTCTCCCAGTTGCCCGTCCTCGCGTAGGTAAAGGTGGTGCCGGCCACCTTGTAATCCCCGTTCCACTGGATGGTCCAGCCGCCGTTCAGGAAATACTTCTCCGGGTCCTCGCTCCGCAGGGCCAGGAAGTTCCCTGCCTCGGCCACCTCTTCAATCCTAATCTCGCGGGCTCCCACGGGGATAATCCCAATATCGACATACCCTGGGAACACAATTGAATGTTGGTCTCAGACACCCGCGGGTTCTGTCCCAGGCACCGGCCCTCCTTCAGGCCTAGTTGTTGGCATCACGTCCAGCGCGTTATCCTTGTGACTGTGCAACGGGCTCTAGTAAAAGCCCCTCTCCTTCCCCGTGGGCAACAAACCCTATTTTGCGCCGAACATACTGAGGTGGGAAAGCCCGTCACAGCCTGAAGCAGATCTCCTGCCTGGCCTTCACCAGGCCTCGCCAACCCCCAAGTCCCCTCAAAACCTCCTCAAAATGGCTCCCGCTTGCACAGATTTATCTCCAGGTGCTGGAAATTTTTTTGGGAGGAGCAAGTGGTGGAAAGATAACGATCTCCACACCTGCCCCTGCTACTGCTCAAACCCAAGCTGATCAAAACGACCAGGTTTGGATTAAAAAAAAAGAAATACTTCCACAAGAACAGCACCCGTGGGCCTTTCACTCCCGAGTGCAAGTCAAATCAATCCGATAGAAAGGGAGCCGTATTTCCGTGTTTCCCGAATGGCCCTGGCTCTGAGGAACGTCTCCCTTGCTAAGCCACCCGCGCGCTCTGCCCCGGACGTTCCTGCAGCGACGGGACCCACGGGCTGGTGTTCACCCCGTCGCCTCGCGCTGCGGGTGAAGGCAGAGGGAAGCTCTGCAGACCACGGGTGTTTGTTTTAAGGAAATCATTTAAAACAACAAACCGCTTTTCCCCCTCAAGCAGCCGTGAGCTTTGTTTTTGCTCCATTTGCCTCCATTTTGTTCCTGGTTTGCACTGCAGGGTTTGGCTACCAGGGGCCTTCGGCGGGCGGCTGACGCGCTGGGCTCGCGGCCTTCCTTTCTTTCTGAAGGGAAGGTGCTTTCTGTCTGTATCCCTGCACGAAATCCCCGGTCGAGCCCCACGTGCGCCGCGGCCACCCCTATAGCATGGAGGGGAAAGGCAAGCGCGAGGCCGGGATGCCACCAGCGCAGACCTGCCCTCATGTCGCGCATGCAAGCGCTTGTCATGAGCCCAAGGAATGGCCTCCAATGCCACCGTCACCACCAGGGTCCATCTGAGCCCTCCTGGGCTCCTCTGGATCTAACCCATAGCATTCCCAAAGCAGAGGGTTCCTGCCTCAGCGATCCCAGGCCCTTTACAACGGGGACAGGGCCTCCTGCATGCAGGATGTGACCCATGGAAGCCGCTTTGCTCCATCCATCCCATCCCAGCCCCGCGTCCCGCGCCGCTGCCCCAGGCCTTACCCAGCCCCTCGCTGTCCTCGAACACCCTCTGCACGGTCTGGCACGTGGAGCCGTTGCCGTGGCACACGCCGCAGCGGTCCTCGACTGCGTTGGAGTCGATCTCGTAGTCGCAGCCCACGTTCTGCAACAGAAACAAGGCCTCAGCGGCCTGCGCGGGGCCACCGGGAGCACCCGGCCGCGGTGGCCCTGGACACTCTGGAGTTTCATGGTGGGACCAACAGTCTAATGCAGGAAATAACAACAGTGACGAGAACCAGCTTTGATGGGAAATATTCACCCTTAACAGGGGGAAATAAAGATCACAGACTGCGGAGTTGCTCCCACAAGCTGCAGCCCTTCAGGGAAGGGCAGTGACGCGGCCGAGCAGGCCACAGTGCTCGGTTCTCACTCTCTCATACGTGCTGGCCGTCTTCCCATTCCATTTCTGCTTCTATGAAAAGGAAGACTCACATCTTGTTTTTTCCTTTTCCCATTCTGCTCTTCAGTCCAGAATTCCCTGGATAGCAGAGCCTGACGATGTGAGTTAAACACTGTGCGTAGCTGGGAAAGCCTCTCGGGGTTTGGCCCTGCTGCCTCTGCGCTAAAAACATTCCAGGGAATATTTTTGTATTCTGCCAAAGCTCTGCACACCTCCAGCCCAGGCAGCTGCCAAATCCCTTCATCTTCCCCGAGCGATGGACTCCATCTGAATGGCACAATAAAAGCTGGAGTGTAATATCCCAAGGGTCTTCCCAGATTCTGTGCCAACGGGGAGCCTTTAGTCTAAGCTCCAAGAGGAAATATCCATGGAGCTACTTTCGTTCACATATTAGGGAAGGAGAGTTATTTTCACTACCGTAATAGCCTGCAGTGAGCCAGGTTTCATGCTGGTGTCGATGCCAGCAGCAGCTTTATGGTCACGCAGGATTTTCTACGGGCCGTTGGCTCTAAATACCTGGACGTTCACGGCGCTGCCGCGTCTGCTCCTCAGTACACGCCAGCAAGGGGTGCTACCCGTGACAGGTAGGAAGAGCAAGAAGTTTCCACGGATTTTTTTTTTTCCATATATATAAAAGACTGTAAGGAAACTCGCTTATGGAGCGCGTTCCCTGCTGCTCTCTGTGCTGTGCGGAGCACAAAGGCTCGCAGCACGTGCTGGGGATGGACCTCATGGCTGCTGCAGAGCCTTGCCATCCATCTGCCCTGTTTTTATTACTATTAATCATTCTGTTTTTATTAGTTGCAATGTTTGGGAAGATCCAGAGGTTGAAGCACGCGGGAGAGAGGGACGTCGCGGCGGCGTTTGCAGGAGCGGGGGCAGCTGCAGCTCCCGCTCTGCCCACGAGCGCTGCCGGAGCCACAGGGGTAAAACCGCCTGCCCCGTCCGCACGAGCAGCCCCTGCCTGTGCGGAGCTGGCGGCTTCTTGGGAAGAAAACAACAACCCCGAAGGAAGAGCAGATCCCACGGAGCCGGCTGTCCCCAGGGCGGGCGGCCAGCGCGGGCTGCGCCCCAGGGACAACACATCCTCTCTGCATCTCCGACTATTCAGAAATAAACCTGCTCCTCCTTATTTTCTGGGGTTTGTATTCTACTTTCCTGGAGCCAGAACAGAGGCCTAAATTCTGCTGTATTTTATGTCTCAGGCAATCACATGTGAATAAGGAAAGGCTCTTATTTCCTTACAGAAGAATAATAATAAAATCTGTCAGTTAACTTTTGCTTGGAGGACTGTAGGCAGAGCCGTCTCTAAACACTGTGGCTGCAGCTAATGGGCACGTTATTTAAAGTGGTTTGGGGAGCGTTTTGTGTTTTTGTTTAACAAATCCCGGGCAGATTCACAAGCATGAACATATCAGGGTCCTTCTCAGTGCTCATGTAAAGGCGAATTGCGAAAGGAGCGAACCCAGTCTCTTGGCGAATGCGAAAAGGGGACCCTGTCCGCCCGGGAAGCGGCCGGGAACGCGGCCGGCGCGCGGCGCACCTTGCAGATCCCGTTGATGCACATGTCCCGGCTCGCGTTGCTTTCGTAGCACGGGGTCCCGTCGATGACCGCGTCCCGCAGCTTCTCTGCGAAGTACTCGCGCTCCGGCCGGCAGTGCAGCTCGCACGGGTTCACTGCGGGGACAGCAAAGGGACGTGACGCGCCGGGGGCTGCGCGCCCGCTGCTGCCCCTGCCTCCCCCAGCAGCGCTGCCCTGTCACAGCCCCTGCTCCCACACTGACACGGTGCACCTTCCCTCCAAACAACCATCTCCGCAAGCAGAAATCAATCCCGCAGCTCAGCCACAGACTCCTCATCTAAAACGCAGTATAAATACTCCAGAGGAGCCGTGGAAACGAAAGGCAATTCCTTACAAGCAGTCAGTACGGGTTCCAGGCACGAACAGCGAAAATAAATCATTAGCAAAAACCTATTTACGACTTGTAATTGGCACCGCGAACGGAAACGTTGCAGCAGGTCGTATCTTGGACTCACCGTTGTTTGGCACCGGCGTCCACTTGTAGAGCCTCCCCTTGTAGGGCATGGGGTTGAAGTGGCTGCACTGGAGCTGGCGGAAGCTGGGCTGCCCGGCGGGACACGGCGCCACGTTGCACACGCGGAACCGCTTGCGCTCGCCCAGGCAGTACCTGCCCCCGTACTTGGGCCTGTTGGCAGGAGGGGAGAGGAGAGGCAAACGCGGGCTGCACGTCAGCGCGGGGCTGCTGCTCCGCTCAATATGGGCCGATTTTCTGGGTTTTTGGGGCCCGGCTGTTAACGCTCGGTCTTATGCTGGGTCAAACATGATTCCACCTGAGGGCAATGGGGAACTTACTCATATAGACCAACCTACTGTGACTTTCTTAGGAGAAAGTTATGTATGAAACCAACATCCGCCCCAGAATAACCCCAAACCCACAAAGCAAGTCTCTGAAATGACGAGAAAACACGGCCCGCATCGCGCTGCTCTAACTCCTTTCTAAATGAACGCCCTTGCCGATGGTGCATTGCCAGCCTGTGCCACAGGACAAGCAGAACCTGCTCCAAGCTTTTCCTAGAGGAGCTGGGAAACATCAGCATCACCCCCGGGCCTGAGCACACGGGCCGAGCTGCAGCTCAGGTCCGAACGTCCCGTGCGGAAAGGCACGAGGGCCTCGTCCAGACACAGGGACCGGGCAGGCTTCCACCACCGTTAGTAGCTTTTGGATCCAGATCTAAAAGCTATGGAGCTTGTTTCAGCATTGATAATCCCGATTAACTATATTAAAACCAACGCACAGCCACAACAACTTATTTTAAACAGCACGTGCTATTTTTACCTTATTTTCCTTACCCTTTTGTTTTGCATGCTATAAATAGCTCAAGAAACATGCTAGACTTTCGTGGAAGGGGCAAAAGGCAGAGACAGCTGCTTTGGATGAATTTGGATTCAGGGATCTTGCAGGAATACATACAGACCATTGACAGAATGCACATATGAAATGCTATTTATAATAAAACCGGGAGGTCTCAGCTCCCTGGCGCAGGGAGGGTGACAGCCCTAGAGCGCAGCTGCCTCCCCTCCGGCCGCTCTTTGCTGTTTGCATTTCCCTTCCGTCGCGTGACGGGAGCTGCCGAGCGGGAGCTGCCATCGCTCCTGCTCCCAGGGACGTTTCCCGATGCGGCCCCGGCTGCGGTGCCGCAGGGAAGGGGACCTGGTTTGTAGCAGGGCACCTCTTTGCTTCGTGACGGCATCAAGCACACCCAAAAAGGGACAAGGGAACGAGCCATTTTCACAAGGCCTCTGTGGAGACTCTAGAGGTTCCTAGCTGCATTTTGAGCCTTGGCCCTCTTGATGGGGCCTCCTTAACGTTGCGAATATGGCCAATTTTATGGCCCTCGTTTACGATGCTATAAAAGCAGTTATTAAAGCTAAGTGTCACTGGCAACACTCGTGCCTGAAGCCTTCCTGCAATGGCAGCAATCGTCACCTCTGCGGGGACAGCGCCCTCCGCTCCGCACGCCCACAACCGAGGGGCCGTTGCCATTCCTCAAGGAGGCAGGGCCGCTGTCCCCTTCCCAGGGAAGGAGCACATCTGTTTTACCGTGCTGGGCTGCAAGCTGAGGAGGCTGCTTTGCCTGACATCCCAGACCGATGCAAGCCAAGTTCTCCCCGGCTTCCCACACGTTTACCTGAAAGCAATCCCATTGCTCGAAGCACTTTAACAGACACTCGCCCTTCTCCATGAGTGGTATTTCCAAGTGAAAACCCACAGCCACAAACCTTGTGCTCTTGTTACACCCGTGGCTCTGACCCTGCTCTCCTCCAGCTTTGGGGTTTGGAATCCTTATGGGCTGAAACCCGTTTGTGGCTGTAACACTTAACTCTGCTCTTGGGCAAGCGGCAGCTGTGCCAGCCCTGCGGACACTGCAGCCTGCGGGAACACTTTGCTGCTGCTTCCTAACGCTTCCGTTTCCCTTGTCCCATCAGGATGTCCCCACGACTCCCGGTTTCCTGACTGCCACGGCCTCCGTGCTCGGCCAGCTCACAGGGACCAGCTCACAGGAACGTCACAGAATCATAGAATGAATCATAGAATGCTTAAGGTAGGAAGAGGTCATCTAGTCCAACCCCCTGCACACACAGGGTCACCTAGAGCACGTGGCACAGGACTGCGTCCAAGCGGGTTTAGAAGGTCTCCAGAGAAGGAGACTCCACAACCTCCACAAGGTTCTGGTTTGGCAGGACGTGCTCCCAAAACCTACCACTATTTTACAATGCAGTCAAGACCTGCCTATTTCACAGTGCTTGACAACATCCAAATGTCTTCTAGAAAAGAGTCTCCTGCCTGCTTTGTCTCCAGAACTTCTACAAGGATCTCTCAGCATTTCCAGCTCTCCCCTCCCTTCCCTGCCTGGCTCCGGAGGAACAACACAGATCGACTGCAGCTTAGCTGGCAGCCGAAGCGACGGTGCCGAGGTGGGAGCTCCTGACCACCTCGGACAACACACGGACATAGAGGAGCTCTCTATAAAACCCACTCAGCTTTGGTTTCCACGCTGGATGCTCTCTGACTGTTTCAATCCAGTAACTCGAACTGATGGAGACTGGAAGACTGAAGCACGGGTCAAAAATGAACAAGTGTCCAGGGCAGAGAAATCTCACAAGCCATCCATTTAGAAGAAATACATTCCTGAAGGTTTTTGATTTTCCATGTTCATGTTTTCTAAACAACAGAAACATTCTGTGTGTAGGAGACTCTACATTCTCACTTATTTATCAGAATACTTGTGAAAGCAGTTTTAAAAATGTTTTTTTCTGGTGTTTTTAAAGTGAGAGGCACTTTAAAAAGGAGTGTTGGGTTTTTCTCATAAGCGCTCATATGACAACGGTAACGGCACTTGCCCTTGTGCCGGCTCGGTTGGGTCACAGCACTTTCTAGGGCCCATATCCCCGTGACCTTATGAAAATTACATTTCCCTGATCAGTTAAATATGGGCACACTGCGGTGAAGAAAATAAAATTAATTATTATTTTATGGTTATATTTACATAACCTTCCTTTAGGAAATACCTAAAGGATCAAGAATTCCCCCATGCATACGTTCGTTCACTTAATCCAAAAGGCAAAGCCGGAGATTTACCTACGGTGGCCAAAACAAACAGCTCCCTGGGGGAATTCTGCTGCTTTTACAGTGTTTGCTCTCCTCCATGCCTGCAGCTGTGTTTAAAGCACTCTATAAACTGCAATTGCACTTCTGCCACAAAACTCATGTCAAACATAAACCTAGCTCTTGACCTGGGAATGAGATTACATGGCACTTTCTTAAACAGCTAACTGCCATGTGTTAAAAGCAAGGTACCCAAGGAAGAAGTTAGGCAGAAAACACATCTGCGCTCATGACATATCCTGCTTTTTTTTTTTTTAGTTTTCAAACCTCTTTAAGCCACTGAAAACTGACTGTGTCTGGGAAATTCAGTAAGGGCCTTAAGCAGCTCTCGGCTTCGTGCTCAGTTCCTCTGGGGGAAGCCCAGGGCCGGGGTTTGGGAACGGGAGCAGGCTGGGAGAGGGAGCGCGTGGGGACGGCACCACGCGGAGCCGCAGCGGCGCTTCCCGGTGCTTCCCCGTCCCTTCCGGGCTGAGCTTGCCCGGCACCGGCGCGCTCGGATTGACGGAAGCTCCGTAGGACGCGTCACGGCTCCGCCGCCCTCGGCTCCTGTCTCCTCTGGTTCACAAGCCCTTTCCTCCCTCCTCTTGCAGATCTCTCCCTCACAACTGGGCAATCCGGAGCGATTTGCTTCTAGGCCAACACAACCGTGGGTTGGCAATGAGAGGACATCTGGGCACCAGATGTGCCAGCTGGAATTACTGGGTAGCCAGGGCTGCTCACAGACCTTATTGAGGTACCTTCACCAGAGCCACCTTCTCTGGGCCAGACTCGGCTGCTGCACCAGCGCAGGCTGAGAGGAGGGAACCCCCCGCTTTGTGCCACGGCTCATTCTAACTCACACAGAAACTGCTCGAGGAAAGCAAAGGGGTGATAAACAGCAATGGAATTTTTCAAAATGATTCTGAATTAGGATCAAAGAACATTTGTTTTCCTCTTCTGTCACTAGGAGACACTGAATGTGTTTTACATTTACAAGCATTGAGCCTTTGTTCTTTGTTTGAATCATATCCCAAATGCTTTCTGCCTGCCTATATATGTACGTGCAACGTCTATGTGAAAGGAGACACAGAAAACTCAATGCCTCCACAGACCGTCTACTGCCCAGATGGCTGGATAACCCTGTGAAACCAGTGGCCTGTGGGCTTTCAAAAGAACATTATTCTTAAAGATAACTGAATAATGACTCCACTCATCTGGACAATTTGCAAAAATGGGTTCGGACCAAATTGGGCAAATGAGGTGATAAGGAGGTGTTGGGTTCCTCTCGCTCAGGGGGGGACAAGCACCGGGCCGGCCGGGGACGGCGCTCGCTTACGTGGGGTTGCTGCAGTGGCGCTCGGCGCTCTGCACGCCCGCGCCGCAGCTCCGCGAGCAGGACGCCCAGGAGCTCCAGGGGGCCCAGCCGCCCTCCACGGCGCCGGGGCGGAAGCCCACCGGGACGCACTCGCCGTTGAAGCACCACTGCAAAGAGAGCGGCAGGAAAGCGGGTCAGCGCCGTGGGGCCGCCGGCAGCGCCCCGGAGCCCCAGCCCGGCCCTGCAAATCAGAGACTTGAAATATTTCATATTCCTTTAAATTCATGTGCCTGGCATCAGTCATTTCTGTTAAAATTGCAAACATTTGACAATGATTCTAAATATTGGAGGATCAGAACATGACCCAAATGCACTCTAATGACTTAATTCTGAATGGCTTAATATTGAAATACTTGAAATATTCTTAATCTAAAATGCGAGGAAAGATAAATGTCATGATTTAGGAAAGACTTGTACAGTTTTTTCTTTCTTTTCTTTCCACGCTGCATTCGCACCAAGGAGCCTGGCTCTGCCGCAGCCAGGTGCAGTCCCGGCAATGGGAAATCCAGGCGTGTTGGCCTAATTGGAGCTTTGCACGAGAACGCCCCTGAGTGACCCAAACCCCCACGAAGGCCTTTCAGCCAGAGAGCCGCTGTCCGGCCTCATTCCCGAAGGGAAGCGCCAACGCGGACAACTCCGGAGGGCTGGGGGGGTTTGCTGGGAACGGCTGCTAAAGCGGGGGCCATCCCAGCTCACCAGGCAGCGACTCTGCAGCTGTACAGGAGAGCAGCATGCGGTATTTTTATGACTATAAATCATATTTATATACTTTGTGGCAGACCAGGGGAATTGATCTGCCACATCCGCCCCAGGGACCCGCCCGAGAGCAGAACAGGATTTACACTTTTCGGCAATGTCAGTAAATGGCAGGTTTCACATTTTTAAGGTCAGGCAGCTTCACTGAAGTGCATCTCCCCCTGGAAGCTCTGAGCTTGGCCAGAGCCGAACAGCGAGGAGCGCCAATCCTCCCTGCGTGGGGGTCTGCAACCCGGCGGGCTTTCTGCCTGCCATAAACCCGTCCGTCACGGGCAGGAAAAGGCACCCCTGCGGCTGCAGATAAAACCGCTTCTAATTACCTTGTTGTCTCCGCACGTTGTGCCGTCGACGGCAGCATCCAGCTTGGAATGGCACGTGTTCCCCACCGTGCACCACAGCGTGTTGCAGACGCTCTGCAGAAGACACGGTTGTGTAGGACACACTGTGCAAACCCCGCGTGGCCGGGGCTCTGCAAACCCCCCTCCCGCAGGGATCCCCGGCCCAAGCCAAGCGCTTTGCCCCGTGCAGGACGAGCGTCGCGGTGCGGGGACCCCGCGCCCGGCTCCACGCCGGGGGGGAAGCTCCGGCTTACGTCCATGTCGTCGCAGAAGGTGGAGAAGGGGCCATACCGCAGGCGGCCACATCGTAGAGGACGCCCGGGGGCACCAAGGGGTAGTCGAGCACCTCGCGGGCCGGCGGGTCGTCCAGGCACAGCCCCCAGCCCCGGCTGCAAGAGAGAGGCCAGAGCGCGTCACCACAGAACCACACAATTGATAAGGTTGGAAGGGACCTTTGGAGATCATCTAGTCCAACCTCCTGTCACCGCTCCGTACCGCCTCGTTGGCCCTCTGCGTTCGGCTCGGGGTGTCCCAGAACCCTGGAGCTGCTGCCACGCACGGGCGCTGCTGCCTGCTTTGCTACGTGGGCACCCGGCTGCTCCGATCTCAGGACACTGCCCCGGCCCCGGAGCAGCCAAAGGGGCCCTACAGCAGGAAGCGCTTCCCGACGCGCTTCCCAGGAGGACGCCGGCAGTGAGGCCTCCGTCCTCCGCACACTTCACATCCCCCAGCCCACAAGACTCAGTTGCACTGAACATTGTTTGCTGACCCAACAGGGCTGGAAAAATAAACCCCACTTGGGGCCAGGTGACGTGCCTGACTGAAAATCCAGACAACTCTCTTTTAAATCCTTGCTCAAAGCAAACAGAGTCTTTACAACCGCTCTCAGCTGCCTGTTTACCCCCGCTTTGCTGACCAGGAAGCCGCGTGATGCTCCCGTGGGAGCGCGGAGACGGTGCCCATCCCACGGGATCATCCGTTCTCCCAGGCTTTCCAGCCGCGCTGCAGACTCAACAGACCCGGTGCAGCCCCTCGGAGCTCTGCGCAAACACAGTTTGTACAAGGCCGCCAAACAAGCGGCTGTGCTCTAAGGAGCTCGGCCGTGAGCCCGCGAGCAGGGGTTTGTCAGCGCTCGTGGTCACAGCAAAGCTCTGTGCACATCAGCCCCGCACTGCCCCACACACCCGATTCTGCTCCCATTTCTAACTATAAATAACTTTAAGCCTGGACCCACACTAGTTTTGGCTATCAGACACATGTCGTCAGGGATAAAGCAGAAGCCAGCAGCTGGATCTCTCCATGGAAGTAAAGATGTGCAGGAGCGAGCACTTTGCCCTTCCCAGAAACGAGTTTTCATGAGTTTCTTCCTGAAGAGTATTTTAACTTATTGAGCATCTTAGGCATAGGCAGGCCAGCTCATGATGTGAAAGGAGGGTTAAACTTGCCCACTTTGACCCTCTGCATGTCCAGGGACTGCACGTTCTCTAAGGGGCAGCCCCAACACCTCCCTGGGGGAGCTGTATGGAACAGAACTGCAGAGGAGCAGGGGGAAGCAGACACACAACCAAAGTGCAGATCGTCACTGGAGATGCCTGGTCCCACCGGAGCACGGAGCCCTCACCTTGCCCCTCCGGCAGGACCAGCTCCTTCCACTGCTCCCTGGCATCCCCTGAGCCCAATCCCAGGAGATCCGGCTGCCCCAGACACCGGTTCCCGCTGCTTCCCAAAGGAAAGCCAAAAACGTCACTTTGCATGGCAATAAGCGCCAGATTTCTAGCTTTGCAACCAGGCCATCAGCTAAGTCCTCAATCTGGAGCCGGGACCTCAGTTTCATCATTTGAGGGGAAGGGTTTCACTTGAACGAACATTTTATTGCAGCAAAACAGATGTCCTTGCGTTCCTACATCACGCTGACCCCAGAAATGTCCCTGCGGATACTGCAACACCAGTGTCAACGTCCTGCTAATGAAAATAAAACAGACCATCGGCAGCAAACCTCATTTCTCCTCCTATTTGCAGCTACAGTCTCCAAACGGCACTGGGCAGTGCATCCTTGGCAAGGACACACTAACGCTGAGCGCGGAGCAGTGCCAGGCCCTGCTTTGCTATGGCACTTCACAAACACACCGGGAATTGTCACTAGTTTAACTCACGATGTTGACTTAAACAAATTTGTTTCCAGCCGCACTGAGTTTGCAGTGTGGGTTTCTGAGCAGATTGGATTACTTTCATTTGTTGTCACTGGAAACAGGTCTAAACTAAATTTTTGTGTGCAAACAGGTCTAAACTAATTACGTGTGGTCTAAATTATCAGCCAGCCATGGCTATTTAAAACATCGTTCCTATAATATTCACCAGCAGCTTCCCCACTGGAGGGAAGAGCAAACACGTTGCTTTCCCAAAGCTGGTCTCTTGCCATAGATTTATTCCTTCCAGGCTCTAGCAAAGCCCTGGCAGCTCAGCCATCGTGCTCATCCTGCTGGAGAAGGAAGGATTCCTGCGGGGGATGTGAGGCCCAACTGGCATTAATTAAGTGTGGATTAGGCACCTGCATGCAGTCCTGTGGTCCAGCCTCAAGCTGTCGAGTCATTTCAGGCATACAGCAAAGTGACTGCATTGCACCTCTACAGGTATTTTCTTTACCTGCTGGTGGAAAATATTTACAAAGAAAATTTTCTACAAACTTGGAAAAGAATGGGATCTTTGTTGGGGACTGTAAGGGCTTAAGTATTGGGCTCCTGTATTGGCTTCATCCATGATACTGGGGCTATTTTGGACTAGTTCACCAACCATCTATTCCTTCTAAAGCATAAAGGGGCTCCACATGCTGCTCCAGAAGCCCCCGTCAACCTTCCCTGCCCTTTGATCTGTCCAAGGCACTTTCTTCCTTTCCTCCGCTTATGGGAGAGGTCTGCAGGCCCAGCATGAGAGGATAGTTTACATTTGCTATTGACTTTGCCAGCACTATGTTCAAAATTTATTTTTTCATTAAACATTTTAGAGTAGTCCTGCTGGTATCTTCAATTGGTCTTCATGTTTTTCACAAAAAGGCTGACTGAGCCAGCAAATATTGGCATGGTTTTTCTTCTGGCTTTGAAGGGATATACAGCAAACTGCACTCTCTGCAGTGAGATTTCACAGGGGTCTGTCCTGCATCTGCCCAATCCAGTGTTCATTAACAAGCCAGATGATGGACTAGATGGTATGAGATGAAATCCCCATATGAGAGCATGCTGGGAAGATCTGCAAGCACATTTGAGAGCAGGGTTAAAATTCCTAAAGCTTTTGGAGAACTGGAGTAATGGCCCAAAAAGCCACAGCTGAATTCAACAAAAACAAACGCAGGATCCAAACTTGGGAAAAATCAGCTGTGCCAATGAAAGCTTTGGAATACCTGGCAGGAGGAAGGGCTCAGGGAGCCGCTCGGGCTGAGCTGGGGGCTGCAGGATAAGGGATAAGCGTCACCACATCCAGGCTGCTGAAAGGTGCTGTCTGACTGGAGTAGCCCATATCAGGAAAAAACCCGTCATCACCGCAAGCAAAGACCAAAAAAGGGAGTGAGGGGGGGATGCAGCGGCCTGCGGTGATGGGAAGGTGATGAAGGGACTATTCTGCACCCCGCCGCACAGGCGGAGCGTGCGTTACACGGTGAATCCATTTCAAAATGTTATTGCACTAGCTGAGCTAGGGAAGAGCTCACTGCATGTCGAGGAGTGCAAGCAAAGAGAGCCCAGAGCATCTTCCGATTCCTGCAAGGATTAGAGGGGGAAAACCATGGAATGTCAAAAAGGGGCTTGCACAGAATGGGCTAGCAGGACACACCACAGCTCGGCCATCCGTCTCCGGGGCTGGGAGATGCAGAGATGTCATTCAGCCACGGGGACGTCACCATTACCCGTCCCTTACTGCAAGGCCCGGGCTGCTCCGGGGTTACTCGTTAGCTTGAACAGAGGGAATTGCTCACGGTGCAACTCACCGCGGAGATGGAGGACGCGGGGAGGGGACCCCTGCGGCCGTGCCGGGTGTCACAGAGGCCCCAGCCCTGTCTCCCAAACAGGGAGGACCCACGAGGAGCCCCCTGCCCCGGCAGCGCGAGGGGACGGCCGGGCCGGGCCGCTCTCGAAGGCCTGAGCTGCTTCCACATACTGAAGCGTTCAGCGGCATCTCCCTCCTTTCTAAAACTGTCAGCATCATCCCCGAGTGCACTTCTTTAAACATGAGGTCTGTTCCAAGCACATCTAGCAAGCCCCGGTCAGCCAAGTCTCATTTTCTGGCTTACTCCTTCCCGTTCTCCTGCCAACATCGTATTATAATGCACTCATGTCTGCGCTCACAACAGGCCTCTCCTTCGCCTCGGGGATGTCACAGACATTGGAAGAGGCGGGTGCTGAACTGTCCCCTGCTCCTGAAGGAAGAGCTGCCTCCTCTGGGAAGAGAGTAAAGACGGACAAAAACACAACTGGAAAAGCATCCAGATGGTCTGCTTCTTCCCTGTTGCATTTGAGAGCAGCTCAAGGTTATTGCAAGCAGGAAATTCTTAAGCTAAAAGTGAAGGTTGAAAGCAGAGGACCAAGTATTCAGGAAAGCACCATTCCACCGACGACCATAAATCAGCAATAATTCACCCAACCCAGGGCCAAGCCTGTCTGCTTTTGGCTGGGATTGATCTGGCTGGGATTTAGAGGTGGGGGATCTACACCCAGGCAAAGTTCCCGTCCTGCAGCTCCCTGCTAGCGCATCCGCCGAGCTGCAGCTCTCCCTGCGCTGCTCCTTGCACGTGTTCTCATTGCTTCCTATAATCTACCCGGAGCGAGGAGGAAAAATGTTCCTCCAGTGCAAGATACAAATGGGGCCATGCTCTTAAGAACTGAATAACAACAGGCTGAGAAATCAGCCACGGGGTGCTAAAAATAAACAAATGCATGAAAGAATTTGGCTCAGTTTGATTTCGTCACGTGCTGCCTCCTGCCTCGAGGCAAACACTGCTGGTTTGCCCTGAGCAGCGTCTGCCTGCCAAGACGAGCGCGAAGCGGGATGGGGATGCAACGGGATGCACCGAGTCTCAGCAGGGGGAAAAAGTATCCCGAACAATAAACGAGTGTTCAAACCACTCCCTTGCCCCGGCAACCCAACACACGCTCATATTTACATGGTGCAGGGCATGGGAAGGCAAGCACTGAGATCACACGGCGGCAGGAGGTCACTCCAAAGCCGGTGGAACACACGGACACGTTGGCTGTGGGGATTCCTCCTCCTGCTCCACAGCTCGGCCTGCTCCCAGCGGCGCTGCTCGGAGTTGTGTAAAGGCCATTGCTGGTGCAAATGCAACACGGCCCCAGCCCTGGGCCGGGACAGGAGCACCGAGGGCAGACCCAACGTTTCACTGCTCCGCAAACACATTTTGGGAGCCCAGACTGCTAAGTCAACAGAGAAAACTGCTCTGGCTCCCTTGGGCCCAGCCAACAGGCCGGTGTGCTGCCACAGCGGTGTTTGCTTTGCTTTTGTGTACAAACACTCATCCTCCCAGCAAGGCCCGAGGCGGTTAAAAACACCCACGAATCCCCCACGTAAAAACCCCCGCAAAGCCCCGCGTTTGGCTCCCGTGCGCGGGCGAGCGCGGCGCGAGCACTCACTCGAGGAAGCGCGTGATGTACTCCCTGCTGCAGCGCGACCAGGTGAGCGGGGACGTATCGTACAGGAGCTGTGGAGACATGATGAAAGGTCGTTTCCCAACTGGCTCACAGTCATTGCTGCTTCCATCATGCTGAATCCCAAAACTGTGTAAGAGCACAGGCCCCAAAGGAGCGGTGAGCCGCGCGCCCGCCACAACCGCGCGGCGTCTCTGCTTTCCAGCAGAACGACAAACATCACACGCAACATCGCCACCATGCAGGGCTCTGCGGGGGCGCGTGGGGTAACTAACACGAGGGAGTTTGGGGTGTTTTAATGGAGCTAGGGCTTTGCCAAGCCGGGTGCCTGCTACGTGATGGGAGCTGGACACCCACGGCTAATCCCAGCTCCGGGGCCTTGGGGGATCCCTCCTTCCTGCATCTCTCGCTGCACAGAGGGGCCATGTCTGCACTTTTGCCATGGGAAATGCTGGGGAGCAGCAGGAGCTGGGAGCAGCAGGAGCCTCCCTCTTCCACGGCTCAGGGCCACCCCAGTGGATAACGGAGCCCTGGCACCACTTGTCCGTGTGCTCCTTTTGGCGTGAAATTGTTTCTCCTTGTAACGCGAGTGTGCCAAAGGAAGCAGCTCAATTAACTGCTGCGGCTAATGACCGCGGGCAGGGGGGACTGGCTGTGGTGGCTTGGCTGCCTCCAGGGACGGGTGTGTTCCTCAAGCCCCGTGACACGAGGAGCAAGGAGAGCAGCTCCCATCGCTCACATCCCCCAGAATCTCCATCTCCTTTGGCTTACACTGGAGTAAAACAGGGGTATTCCCACTTGAACCGGCCCCAGTTCAGTGAAGGTGTGTGTAAAACAGCCTAAAGAACTCAGCCCAGGTGCTTTGCCCTGTGCGTTATTCCTCCTATACAAATATTTGCTTTGTATCTTCTCTGCATTCACCAGAGCACAAGGAAACTCTGTGCTAGCCACAGCCTGAGCACGGAGGGGCACGATTAGCTCCTTTTGCATTTACATGTGCCACGATGTGTTTCTAGAAACACACAGGTTCCGAGCCGAGTGTTTCCCTTATTATTACTGCTATTTGCATCTGCTAAATTGCGTGTGCTCAGGAAGAAATACGTTTATTACTCCCTTACAATCAACAGGCAAGTCTGTGTGGAAGAGCTCAAGGGGCAGCGGGTTTGAAGGGTTATCAATCGAGAAGCAAACACTCGTCACAAAGGAGTTCGTTAAGCGACGTCACTTAAATTAATGGTGAGATTTAGCACAACTGTCCAGGCTGCCATTAGATATACGGTTCAGCTCTAAGTATCTCAAAAGCAGTAACTCAAGCGCAACTGAACTAGTGAGCAACAGGCTGAGCACCCCCTGGTACTGCTCCTACCATGCCCAGGGGGACGCAGAAGGTGAACTTGAAGTGACAGGGCCAATGGGTTGGTTTTAATGCAGAGAATATATAAAGCAATCATTGAACTGAAGAGATCAGTGAATCCAAAATTTAATATAAAATACCATTGCATGGTATTTTTGCCAAGATACTATTTTTTGCAAGACTTTCATTTCAGCTTTCCTACTGGAAACTTGGCCAATGAAAAAGTAATGAGAACAAGACTGATCTAATGCAACTTATTGAACGTATACTTGTATAATGCAAAGCTATCGATTACGAACTATGATGATCGAATGAGCTTTTCAAAGCTTAATGGCCTTAAACACAGTGTAGAAATAAGGACAAGCAAGATCCCATCACTGATGCGATAAACGGACTAAATTTTGACCTTCTTACTGAGTAACCTTCTTCTCCAAAATCTTCGACTCCATCAACACAGGAAATGGCATATAAATGTAATTAGGTTTCCTTGGAGCACATGATTTTCAGTGAGCCTATGACAACCAAGAACTTAACTCCCTGGAATTAAATTCTCAGAGCAAATCCCTCTGTTCTGCATGACTCTCAGCGATGCTCCTCCAGCTTCCCCCGTGCCTTTCCAGCCCCTGACCAGGCAGCGCAAGGATAGGGGCCAGAGAGGAGCTTAGGTGGTACCTGTGTCCGAGCTCGTGGGCCACGGTGAAGGCGAGCGGGAGCCCCGTGTCCTCGTTTATGTTACAGCTCCGGTGGGGCTGGCACATCCCCGCCACGTGGGACAGCCCCAGCGTCTCGCAGGGCCTGTTCATCGCTGCGCAGATGTCCTTCCTTCGGCATGTGGAAACGGCGGAAAAACACACGCACACACACACAAACAGAGGGCGAGAGGTTGTTCACAGGGAGCAGGCGAGCGCGGGCACGGCCGCGCT